AGAACCAACCTCAGCAGCAGCATGACATGAAAACCACTTGTGGGCACAGCCCTGTGTGGTGCCCAATCATGTCATCTGGGAAGGAGACAACCATGGGGCACCAAGTCAGTTCTGCTGGCTGGCTGCTGCTACATCAACCTCCTTTTCATATTTAATATTTTTCCTTGGTGATGTACAAATATTTTTCTCAGATGAAATTAGGATATGGTCAGCAAGCTGGGGAACCTTCAAGACTTCTCTCTCCCAGTACACTGGCAAACTCCTTCACAGTTCATTTGGCAAAAAAAAAAACCTGCTTTGCCTAAATAGTTGATACTTCAGCTTCAAAAACTGTGGGCTTCTGCAAACTTACCCTTGCTAAACCTGAGCCTGAAATAACACTGCAGCCTATTCTGCCTGTTTTTGTGTTCCTGCAAATGATTTAATGTTTTGCCAACACAGTAAATGAGAAAACCTTCCTATTGTGCATGTTCATCCAAACTGGTGCTCACCTGACAGCAGCACTTGTTCTCATTCTTAGACCTTTGCAAACCAATGATTTGCTTGTAACATTTTTCCAATACACTCTTAGGTATTTTAATTACTTTGTTTGATACTAAATCTGTTTTACAAGTGATTGGGAAAGAAGAATTAAGCAGCAGTATCTAAAATCCATATTAAAATTGCAAACTCTCTTGTAATCTCTAAAGCACTTGGAGACGACCGAAGGTTTTCAGAGTCTGCATAGCAGCATGTGCTTGTTCCTACATGGAATTTCCCTAATTCCTCAATCAATTACCTGGAAAAAGCAGCCATTTTAATCAAAACCCTAAGGGTAGATGAAATCATGAGAAAACACGAGCTTTATTGCAATGGATATTGACTGTAACTCATTAAGATGTTAAAGTATTGACATCCCGTTTGATGAGAAAAATGTCTGATAGCGAGTGTACATAACTGTGTTACAGAGAATGCCGGCATCAACACATCATAATGAGTAACTAATGATGTCTGTGGCCTAATGAGGTGATTAAAGCAGTATCCTTTGATCTATGTCACTGACTTGATTTAATGCCACGCCGAGATTGAATCTCCGCGCACCACTGGGGAGATTCAAGTAATTTGAGTAATTCACTCACCTTGTCCCTGCATCACCAGGGATATTTGTGATGAACACAGTTGCTTCTATGGCTAAGTCACCCCAGGCAGCACACATTGTCAGGGGAGAGGCCACTGCTCCCTGCCTGCTGGTGGCCCCTTGCAGGACTCTCTCACTGCTGCAGAGCAGGGGCCTCACACAACCTCCTGCCATGGCCACACACCTTCCTTTTGCCTCACAGTGCCCTCACTGCGAGGGCAAATTTTGGAAGTTAATTTGCACCACTGGCAAATTTTGGAAGCATCCTTCACCAAGAGAAGCTCGTAGTAAGATGCTTAGTTACCTTTCGCCCAAGCACAACAGGGGAGAGTCACACTACACAGAAGCACGGGGCTTTGTGCCTGCCACATGCTAAGCATCCTCTTCAAACCACTGTGCTTGTCCAGCAGGAGAAAAGCTTAAGCATGAGTTCTTTGGGACAACAACCAGAGTGCCAGGACCCCAAACCTACAGGTGACACCAGGGATGTAAAAGCTTTGAGCATGTTCACGAAGCGACGTAGCCTGGCCACCAGCACCAGCTTAAAGCTTGCTTCCACTTCCAAACAGTGGAAAATCTTCACACCCTTGGTGGGGAAAGGACTTGTTAACCCTGTCATTTGCACCACAGCAGCCCTTTCAAGCAGCCCTGCCTACCTGTGCAGATAGACTTTGGCTGAGCAGTGTTGTCTTGGGGAGACAGTTGCTAAGTTTGGGGTTGTATTTTCCTCATGAGGCTACCAAAACAAAAGTGTGGCCACCCTCAGTCAGATCAGAAGTCTGTTTGTGTGACAGAGGGGACAACTGGGTACCCAGGGCAGAGCACACAGGCTGGGTGGGCGTGTGGCAATGGCACTACTTGGTACTCTTCCCACTGCCAACCATTTTCAGAGATGTTCTGAGCTCTGCATGGTTTATGTATTAGCAGCCACTGTGGATTAACTTACATTAAGTGTCTATACTTTGCATTGCAGTACTTCTTCCTAATGAAGCTGATAACGAGGACTAATTTTCCCTCCCAATCATCTCTAACCTTAAGCAATAATTAGTACCAAAAGCATAACTGAAGCTCAAATTCTGGGCACCTCCCTTGGGCAGGAAATTATTTTGCTTGATGAATAGACCATTTTTAACAAAGGGCTTTTTCCTGTACATAAATAACTGTGCTGCCTCCCAGATGTGTGGGTGTGATACTGCCATCCCTCTCCAAGCAGCAATTGTCACCCAGGGAGAAAAATGGCCCCACAGCCCCAGCACAGGGGCCAGGCAGTGCACAGCTCCCTCTTCCCCCAGCTGTGCCCTAAAAGGAAGAAGATTTCTCAGGTTTCATCCAGACAGTATCCCAGATTTCAGGCAGCCCCAGCACAGCCACCCCTCCATGCTTGCTGAGGACCTCCCTGCCCCTGCCACAGAGACATGCCCTGCTGCAGGCCCCAGCCCTACAGGCAGCACATCCTTCCAGCTCTGTCCCCTGCCTCATTACCCACCTCCCCTCCATGACCCTGCTTTAGGCTTTTAGTGCTTATTGGTAATTTATAACGTTGACAGCAGCACTGCCCCATCCCACACAGGGCACCTGAGCCACCCCCACCTAAACACAAAACCCTAAGGAGCTCAAATCTGAGCACAAATCAGCCCATATCTACCCCCAAACATGCCAGGCCCCCTTACCAGACACAGCTCCTCCTGGTTAGGAAGTAGGGCCCAGCTCAGGCAGCCTTTATTGCCCTGGGACCTTCACATACAAATGGGCTGCAGCTGCTGCATCACCTGTGCTGCCAGTGCTGCCACCCAGAGTGGCCTCATGCCATGGTGGGTGAAAGCAGCCTCCAGCTGCTGTTGTTGTCTTTGTCCTTGAGAAGGTCTGGGTGCAACTGAGGCAAGAGCAACTCCTCTCCCAGTTCTGGGGAGCTGGTTTCCTCTGCTTTGCTCACTGGCTGTGTTCCTTGCTTTCTGCCAGCGCTCAGGAAATAAAGTTTGTGAAGCTCATTTTGGTGTTTGGGCTGTGGGCACCTGTGGTAAGCCCAGCTGGCTCCCCCTGAGCACGCTGACAGAAATGGTGCACACGCCGGAGTTAAATGTATATCAAATATAAAAATGAAGTTCTGATATGATGAAGTAGCTGGGAAACTGTGCACCAGGGGCACCCCAGCTGTCCCTCCCTGCAACAGGCCTGTTCCTACAGCACAGGCTGGGTGGCCAGGGGTGCCCAAGGACATGGGGCAGTGAGCTGCTGTGTGGGATGGGTCATCCCAGGGGCACCCTCCCATGCCTGGAGTCAGGGAGATTAGTGACCAAAATGATTCACATGAGAAGGAAATAAGGGACAGGAGGCATAGAGAGAGGTCATAGCAAGGGGACCTGATGTGGCTGTGCCAGACTTCGCCCTTAAGCTGCTCATCATCCTCTCCTCACCCATGGGATGAGAACCTGGGAAACAGCAGCTGCCTGATGTGCTTCAACCCCTGTGGCACGTCCTGATTATTTTTTCTAGAAAAAGCATTTTGCTGCGTGCCTTTGTCTGCCAGGTAACACAACAGGGTTTGCTGGAGCCCTCACTTTGCACCGTGGCCCTGCCCAGCACCATCCCATGGAGTTACTGACCTGAGTCAGAGCTGAGTTATCCCAGGCCTGGCCAGTACGATGCTGTGGATGAGCAAATCCCAGAGGCACTCCTTCAGGGGATGGGGACATTTCAGGTTTCCCATCTCCCTTTGCCTTTGTGCTTGCCCTGGACGTGCGTTCCTGGTGATGCTTTGGCTTCTGGCATTGTCTTGGGACACCAAGCCCAAGGGGAGCCCTCCAAAGGGATGCACTCACTGCCTCTCTCAGCTTAGCAGTAAAAAGAAATTGCACATCAGGGCACAGGCTGCAGGCACTTCCAGAGATAAAATATTGTCAGCAGAGTCCAGACTATCCATCAGAAAAAATGTAGCTGATGCCATGATTTATGGGACAAAGATGAAGGTTTAATCCTCCTCTCAGCAGTGCAACCTGATTTGCTACAAAACCCTGTTAAATTTTGTGGCACACGCTTCATCACTTCATTAGGAGATAGAGAGAGAACGGTTCAATGCATTGCTGAATCTTTTATGGCTGGGACTCTCCTCCCACCACTCCCGAGTGATGGGTAATCTCTCTGATCAGATCCCCAGGAAAAGACCCCGTGGGATTACAGAGCGCGGAGGCATTAACAACAGTGACAGGAAAGGAATACAATATCCCTTTAAACAATTAAATATTGATCCTGCGGGCCTGGGGTGGACTCCATCACACAGAAGGAAACACCTCTGCGAATTAGTTTGGTGACATCCATACCCTCAGATGATATAAAGGAAACCGAGATTATTTGCTTCACCTACTTTCTTAATGTTTTTTTCCCTCAATTAGAGAAATGCATCTGGTATGAACCGCGCTCACCCCTCAGACACTCGGTGCTCGTCTCCCTGGAGCCCACCGTGCCGGGAAGGGATGGACTGGGGAGCACAGGCTGATGGGGGGTGCTTGCTGGGGGCTGCAGACCTCAGCACAGATGGGGGGAAGAAGACACAGTGCTGTGAAGCCTGAAGAGCCCTTTAGTGTTCCCCCTCCATGGACGTCCCTCCCATGACTCCACCGAATGCCGCCCGTCCCACGGGAGAGCTGGGGCTGCCCTTGTCTCAGCCCAGTGCCTGCTGGCTGCACACAGAGAAACAAAAGAAGGCAAGAAATGTCTAAATTTAAAGTGCTGGAAAATCCAACCTTTTATTTACTACATTTTTGTGACTACATAAACGCTGAAACATTGTAACGCTGAAACATTGTAACACTGAAAAGCATGATGACATCATCACTTGCTTTTTTCTTTTTTTTTTCTTTTTCTCTTTTTTTTTTTTTTTTTTACCTTTTCGCTTAGCAAACACAGCAGATGATATTGCACGGCATAAAGTGAGAACAGTAGCAAAGCTTAAAAAAAGTAACTTAAGGAAATCTTAACGCAGTACAGGAGATACTCATACCCAACCCAGGGCAATGCCTAGCGCACTGCACTTGTCATCGCTACACACAAAAATACAGAAGAAGCGCTTGACTAAGAGAGAGAGTGAGGAAATATCAGCAATCAACTGTAATTAGGTACAATAATCACTTAGTCTGAAATGCAGATGCAACGCATAAACTACTGCTGCTTCCTAATGGGCGAACTAAAGATGGCAGCAAAGGGCTTTAGCAAAATCTTCGCTTTGTTTTCGTTGCGGGTTTTTTTTTTCTTTCTTTCTTTTTTTTTTTCCCACCCTCTTTTTTTTTTTTGTGTTTTTTTTTGTTTTGTTCCGTTGCTCTGGAAGAACTCCCGCTTGCTCTGGGAAGATTTCCTACCCCTACGGAGCTGGGACCTGTGATTGTCTCTGTCGCCCCCTTTGCGGCGGGAGCCGGGGGAGGGCGGGCCGGGCGGGGGTCCGGGGGGTGCCGGGGGTCCCGGGGCTGCGGGCGGGGGTGCGCAGGGCCCGAGCGAGTCAAAGACAAGGCTGTACCCTACATTCCCTGCTGTCCAGTTCAGGCCGCAAAAATAACGCGGCCCCACAGTGAGGATGCAGCAAATGCAGTAAATGCAGAACATTCCGTGAAATACCGAACTACCGGAACAGGACAGGAAACCGCGGCTCCCTAAGCACAGTTTGTCCAGGGCTCGATGGCTCATGCTGGATTCACAGACTAATACTTTGCCTCCCCCTCCATGTGAAGCATAACTCATTGCACAGCACTAGCTCCTGTATTAAAAGCAGACACTGAGCCAATGCACAACAACAGACCATTTAATGATCCTGCATTTCAGAGCGTCTTTATTGCCCCATTTCAATACTTGAAGTATAAAAAATGTACCTAGAAAGTGTAACTTCTGACCAAAAGCTTAGACCCTGCCCTTGTCCTTCCCTCCCTCAACCCCTTCACTATCCCCTCAAAGGAAAATGAGGTACACCTGGGGCTCACCTACTGCATGGGAAAGGAAATATTTACAGCCATCACAAACTGTGTCAGCACACAACACTCAGCTGAAACAGAACCTATTCTTTATGCAAAATAAAACACAGGCGAGTGGCATCCTATTCTCTGTGCCATGATGCCATCATCAGCTTTGCAGAATTATCATTGTCATTACCCTTTTCTCTTTGCTTTTCGACTCAAAACCGCCTCGTCGTCCCTCGAGATGTGGGGGTACCAGGGCAGGGGTTGTCCCTGGGAGGGACACAGCACAGGTCCCCCCCCCTGTGCTCACCTGCACCCGAGGCACCGCAGTTCTGCCTGGATGAAGCTGCAGCTTCTCGGGGGGGCTCAGCTGTGCCCCGTGGACCCTGTCCCGTCCCCTGCATGCCCTGGGCTGGAGAGCAGGTGACCCGGTGGTGTCCCGCGGGTGGCCCCAGCCCTGGAGAGCTCTCCAAACCCGCGCCATCCCATCGCCCGCCGCAAAGGCCTTCCCGTGAGCAAGGATTCCAGAGCCAAGTCAGCTTTTCTCCCGAGGCCTGCGCCCGCTACCCGTGCGAATGGCGAAGGAAAACAAAAACTCAGCAAAATCTCTCACAAATGCCAGTGCTTTTTAAACATTAAAATGACTTTTAAATTCTTTGGATGTGCGGGTCTCACCCACAAAGCAACCTTTCTAGAAAAAAGACAAATAAATTAAAGGAAAAACACGCTAATAATGCCTTTCTGCTTCCTAAGTGACAAAAGTACTACCTTGAAACACTCATTTTGGCATGTACAAGTTGGGGGGAAGGGAGGCCTGGAGGGGGTAACCTGGCAGTGTTTGTAACACAGGTGGAAGTGCATGCCAAGACAAGGCTGAAGATACACCCTGCAGTCAAGAGAAGCACTCTCCTTCAGTTCATCTCAGCATCAAGAATGAAAAGATTGTAACATAAAGCTTTGGCCATTTTTGAATCTACTATATACAATTTTTTTTTTTAAACTACATAGTCATAAATTAAAGCAGTGATTAAATAAGTGTATACAAAAGGTAATTAAATTAAAAGTCACAGCACATTATAGAGAAAAAATAGGAACCATTTATCACAGCAGAGAATATTTTTTTTTTACCCTGTGAAAAGAACATCAACTAGCAAACACAAAGTATCCTAGTTGAAACAAAAGTAATCAAAGCCATGTTTCCCTTTCTTGCATTCATTGCAAACAGCGATCTTTACCCACTTTGAAACATTCCCAGGAATAAGATCTTCCTTGAGTATAACAGAGAAGTTCTGCCAAAAAAAAAAAAAGGAAAAAAGAAGAAACCCAAACCAAACAATATAAAAGGAATATACAAACAAAACAACCCCTACAAAATAAATAAGAATTATAAAGCTTTTTTTTAAGTAACCTTAACAATTATCAAACTAGTAAGTTCTGCCTTATCACATAGACTCTCTATACAACATAACCCTAAAGATTTATTACTATGAGGTATTTGGAGGAATTGGTAAAAGCGATGCACGGCCTGTCTGGGCTGAGGGACTCAAGCTGCTTTAGGGGAAAGAAGAGGGAACCTTTGGTTTGTCAGCAAGAAAGTGGAAAAAAACATTTTCCTTTGGTATCAAAGAAAGTTTCATTGCATGGTTGCACGGCAAAAAGCACCACGGTGAAGAATTATTCCTTTTTTTCATTAGTGGCCTTTCTAACAGGCTGAGGTATTCAAAGAGTATAAGGTGAGAGATAAAGAGGTCAACAGCGGTTTAACACTTTGGTTCAAGCAAGGCACTCGTCCTATGAGTTTACAAAGTTTGCAACATGTTTGCCTAGAGCTTTATTATTATTATTATTATTATCCTTATCATCGTCAGTAGTAGCAGTTGTAGCAAGAGAAGTATTCGTAAGGTTATTAGCATTACCACTAAGAATGAAGACAAGGTTACACACTGAGTGAAGGTGAGGAAGGGGGATGAGGGGAATGGAGGTAAGAAGGAGGATGAGTTCCCTTTCCAGACCAAGGCCGTGCATGAAAAATCTTTGGTATTCTTTGGTATCATCATGTGATTAAAATCACCAATGGAAATCGAGTGAGGTAGCGTCTTTGGTTCACACTATAAATAGTAGATCTTTACACACTTTTTTTTCTTTTTTTTTCTTTTTTTTTTTTTTAACACGTGGAAGTAGCTATTCCTTACCTTTTGCTTCTTTGTCTTTAGCAAATAGTTACCAAATGTATTGTAAAGCTAACCACACCACAATAATAAACCAGGAGGCTAAGCAAAGTCTCAAAATTAGCCCCTGGGCCTTTGAATGCACCCAAACGCAGTGAGATAGAAAAGGGTAAGTGCTTTCTCTTTGTTTGCTAAATGCATAGTTTTCATCCCTATGTACAAAGGAGGAGGAAGAGGAGGAGGATAGGAGGAAGAGTAGTAGAAAGAAGGACTGTTTTTTGGGGTAAAAATGTCTTGTTTACAACTCAGGTGAGGAGAGGTGTCCTAAGACTCTTTGGTATAAGCTCAGCAGTGTTTCCGAGCCCTCTGGGCAGCAGCAGCCCCTGGGGCAGTGCCCACCACCACCACGCCCTTATCCTGAAATCTCAGGAGAAGAGCGGTGCCCATGGGCAGCCCTGGGGCTGGTCTCATGCCAGGGCACCCTTGGCCACTCGGCTGCTTGGGAATTTGCTCCTGGCACTGGCTGTGCAGGAGCAACTTCTCAAGCGAAAGCCCCGTTGCCGGCTGGCTCGCTCTGGTTGGGTTTGCTTTACCTGAGTAAGGAGAGGAGGCTGCGGCCCTGGGAAGCCATGCAGGGCTAACAGAGTGGTGTGAGTCGGTCTGAATGGGGATTTTTTTGTTTGGTTTTTTTTGTTTGTTTGTTTGTTTTTGGTTTTTTTTTGTTTTCCTGGAAATCTAATGATGCCATTTACAATGGGAATGGATGCGGACAGTTCACCTCTTGGCCAGCCTCCCCTTGTGGGTCACTGCGGTCAGTTTTGGATGCAGCCTGTGAGCTGAATGCATGTTCCTAATGCCCTCTTGCCCGTGGGGTCACCTTTGACTGAAGCCTCATCTCCTGATGCTCCCAAACTGTTTCAGGTTCTGCTCCCTCTCCTAACCCCTTCCTGGCAGAGTTTTAGATGCTTTTTGTTGCATTTGAAACTGATTTCCATTTAGTCAGGAATGAAATGAACCAAAAGACTGACACTAATAGGACAGAGACGGGTTTCCTGTGTAATGTTAAAAGCAGCATTAGAAGAAGCTCCCCTTCAAGGGTGCCCTGTTGAGTGATGGCACCAGTCAGAGCCAGGGAGCACCAGGTAACCTGTCCATGCTTCAGTCGGTGCAGCTGGGCAGTCTGCTCAGAGGTAACACAGCTTTACAGGTAGAATGAGCAGTTCCATAGTTATTTTCTTCACATTTTGAAAGCAATCAAAGAAAAGTGTGTTCTTTGCCTATTCAGAGTATGAGGCGCATATTGCTCATGGGAAGAGTGGTTTGTTCCTAATGGCTTATAGGAAACCAAAAGGTTTATATATACTTAAACAGACATGTAAAAAACCCAAAACACTTAAAATCTATAACTTGTGCATCAGTTTTAGTGTGTGTGTGGACATGTGTGTGCACATGTATACGTACATACACCCCACAAAAATGTGTGCATGTACATATACACAGTCCTACTTAGGGGCTTGCATGTGTGTGTGTCAGAGATCCTGAAATTGCATATTGGGTGCAAATTTAATGCTGGTATGAAAGTTCTCTTTGGTTTCAGCAAGTAGTCTATAAAGACAATACAATGAAAATACTAAAAAATGCGGCAATGTACTTTGAATTTCCCTGCATTTTTAAATTCTCAAGTTTTAAATAAATAAGGCTTTCTTTTCTAAACTATAGGTACGTTACAAAGCAGCGTTTGCTGGAAAAAACTAAACCGTTAGTTATCACTGTCCTTTATTAACCTTACACTAGTGAGACTGCATTCATAAGGTACTTTATATGTGAGCTTACTAATGATGCCATGTCAATGTCTCCGTGGGGATGGAACACTTCAAAAGAAAACTTGCTAAAATTTAAGGTAAGCTAGAGACTCAAAAAACTCCCAGATCTGATTCCGTTTTCCTAGACAATTGCTTTGTCAGTCTTAAAATGGGTTTAACATACTGAAATGTGGAGAAATATTGAATGCCAAAAATCTTGTTTTTATTTTACTTTATTTTAATAAAGAGATATTTCATCTGTATTCTAAACACTTAGTGGAAATTACCTGTACACCCTGAACCTTGACTAGACCCTGTCCTCTTGGGAAGTAACTGGTGCTACAAAGTTGCTCAGCTTTGGTGTCACTGGTATTTTGAGTGGGATTCATCCCCAAACCAGTATCTGCTACAGTAGATAGTGTTTGGATTCTAGTTTACCTTGAATTTTCCTTTTTCTTTTTTTTAATTAAAAAAAAAGGTTGTAATTAAGATTACCTATTTCTAGTCCTTGCATTGGGCCTATGACTGCATATTTGGTTACTTTGGAATTTAATATACCTAGCATAATTACTACAGTAATTTGAAACACCGGTTAGAAATCTAACAGGCACATGTATGGTTTTTAAAGTCTATTTTCCCCTTACACTAAAATTTAATGTGCAGATGTTGCACTCTTTTCTTTTTAATTTTATCAGAGTAGGAACGGGATGATTTTTCTCCTATGGGTCTGTTAGCAACAGAGCATATAAAGCTTTTCAGCTACAAACTTTAAACTATTTCATGCATTATCCTGACTAATAGATGAGCAAGAAAGAATGCATGGGACAAAAGCTCAGCCTGCTACACACAGATACGAAGCCACAAAACATCAGGCTGTGTCTCAGTGTCATGGGAATTTTGCTCTTGAATTCAGAGGGATCACAATTTCTCCTTCCAAAAGCACTACTAGAGCTCCTCTTGGAGCTCTTCCCACCAACATTAACTGATGTTGTACCACTGTTTTCAACAGGAAAAGACCACAAGCCTTCAAAGCTATTACTATTCCTTTGCCTGGTAAAGTCAATAGGTAAAAAAAAGCTCACTAATGTCAATGAGTATTGATCAGACACTGAGCCCTGTGGTTTTGCATCTCTCAATTCGTTTCGTTTTTGCATACTGAGCGCCTCAGGTCTCCTGTTCGCAGGCTAGATGGCAGAGCTGAGCCACATTGAAACACAGCGCCGGGCTTCCAGCACTGCCAGCCTGGGAGAGCGCCTGGGGATGCAGCACGGCGGCTCCCGCAGCCTCACACACGGCTGGAACACGTGGCTCCTTTTTTTTTTCGCTCCCGTTGAAGTCAGTGGCCAAAAGGCCCGCCGAGTTCAGCGGCAGCAGCATCCCATCCTCAGTACCTGTGCTCTGCCAGGGGCTGCGATCTCCTCGGGTGACATTCTTTCTTGCCAATCATGGAAAAGAAACGATAATGTGGTTTTTACTAATTGCAAATAACAGTCTTGATTACAAGTTTTATGTGTTATACAGTTAGATTAGTTTATACCTATAACTCTACATAGTATTTTGTGTAAAAATAGCTTTGGAATATTAAAATCATTGCAATAAAATACCTGCAATATAATTATTAAATGTGTTCTTTGGTAGCTAGTCGATTTTTTTTTTTTATGGATGGAATAGTTTTCCTTTTTTAAATCTGAACATTCCTTAACAAACAAAGAGAATGCACTGGTTTAGGTACCATTCAAAATTTCTTTGCCTAGTTCGAACTTGTTCCCGGGCGTTGCACCGGTTTAAGTTCAAACTGTGAAACAGCAAAAATCACACTACCGTTCAAAGGAATTCAGACGACTCCACGCTCTGCCAGCTGTGCCATGGCACAACCCTCTCTGAAGACCAGCCCTGACTAAGTCCCTAACCACCGGTGTGTACGCAGTACAGATACACTATACACCTTCATGGCAACTGCTGTGGGAATGAAGAGCTGTATCCAAAGAGATGTCTGTTCAATGACAGGAAATCACTATGCTCCAAACCACTAAACAGCCAAGTACGGTGAAGATGATAATGGGTAAAGGTGTAAGACCAGTGGTCTGTTTCTCTTCTCTTTGCATTCTGTTTTGTTCCCTCCGTTTCGCTTTCTTCTTCCTCTCTTGTTTTTTCGCAAGTCGTCATCCTACTAAAGTGTGTGTCTTAGAACAAAGTCATAATGCAGGTGAAATAAGTCTTTGGTTTCTTTGGACTTATAAATATTTTTTTTTTCAAATAGTTCTAAGTATAAACCTGCTATTTTGAGGTCCTGGTCTGTCTTTATTTATTTATTTATTTATTTTTAAAGCTTTTCCACCGAGGTTTAGTTCGTGGTTATTCCTTCATGCTTTGGTACAAGTGCTTGATGAAGAAGATGAGTTGCCTGAATTGGAGCTGCCCTCGTCTTGCCACTTATCCAGACTCCTCCTCCGTGCATTCATGAAAAAGTTGCTGACGGTGCTCAGCTCCAACCCGAGCTGCTGGGAAATGGTGATTTGTAATTCTTTGGATGGACGCTTATTTTCCTTGAATATTGCATGTAGAGTTCGACGCTGGACATCAGTGAAGACCAACCGAGGCTTTTTGGGTGTATTCCCTCTATCCTTCCCGTGCTCTTGTTCTTTCCTCTTGCACGCTGCAAGAAAGGGGAGGACAGTTAGAGAGGGCTGGCAGGGGAGCACACGGGCACACAGCACAGGACAAACCAGGGAAAAAGGACCATTCATGTCAGCTTCCAAATTTGAAGAGGATGTGTGACAATGAATTTTTCTAACTCATTATAAACTATAAAAAATATGAGGAATAAAAGTTAGAAAATACCTTTGTTCTTGTCTGTTAAAACTCAGCAAATTCTATTACTGAGAGCTTACATTTTAATAGCACCCATTAGTGCTGGAATTTAACTATTTAATATCTCTACGAGGAAGAGGGGAAATACACCGAACTCTAAAGTCAACCTTGCCCACATATTTTACCTTTATTAGTTGCTTTCAATCCATTTCTGTAGCTTTTTGCTGACTAAGGAACAAAGAACTGTGAGAAACCAGGGTACCACAGGCAGATGTATTCTGAACAAAATAAACATGTTTTGACATGAAAAACAATGGTATAGTAAATTTTCTTTATAGAATTGCACCTTATTTCATCTATCATCCCTCCTTTCCATTTCAGAATGTTATTTTGCTCTACACTATTGAAGGCTGCTTGCAATTTGAAATCTGCCTCACAGATCACCTGCCAGGCAGGATCTGATGGGATGTGAGGAAGACTCCCAGATCCCCCTGTCAGCCTTTTATTGTCTGCCAGCTCATCCTGTTAGCATTTTGCTAGATAAAGGCTTCCTTGGGAGGACAGACTCCTCTGTCTCACTTTCAGAAGTGTCTGAAGTTGTCTGTTTCCCCTTTTTTTTCTCTAACAATGTCCTTTAACAACAATTGAGAGATGTATTTCTGAAGGTGATATGAATGTTCTGTCTCTGAGCCTGTCTAGTCCTGGTTTCTGTGGAGACCAGTGCTGATCATCTGAAGAACTTTTTGCAGTATCTCCACCTATTCCATGGTTATTGGAATGAAAACAGCAGATTACTTTACAAATGTTCTTCCTATAAATCCTATTGTTACCAAGCACAAGCCTGCACTCGGTAACAAAATTGCTCGAGGGAGGTGTAAAAATACCTTTTGTACTTGAGAAATAGGAACTGCACAGATCAGGATCCAGGAGCTGCAAAGGCTCCTTCTGCTGGCCCAGGGAGGCCAAGGGACCAAGACACTGGTGGCTCAGCCCCCTCTGAGGAGAAGCTTTTGAAGAGCTCCCTAACAACATATATTCCAGCTACACGTTCTTTCATAAGTAATGACACATCAATCAAATAGTCTGGGACTCCAAACTCATATCTTCAAGAGTTATTTTTATCTGAAAACCTTTGAAGAATGCTTTGAAGTTACATCCTGACCTGTAAAACTGGGGAGCTTCTGGGCTGAAAAACAGGTTTCCTCATGCACACAAGCCCCTGCTGAAGTCAAACTGCTGAATTCCCAGTGGGGTTTGGTGCCTACTGAAATAATCTGCATCCCCACTGGAAGTTAACGTTGGCAAACCAAGAGTTAAAAATATTTTTTCAAGAATAGTCTGTTATTTACTGACAAATATTAAGAATGAGGAGCAAAGAAGATACCAGTAGCATCTCAGTCTTTTTTATACCTCTAACCGTTTGACAACCTGAAATTCCCAGGAAAGCAGCTGCAGGAGCTTGGCTCTGTAACAGCCTCAGCCTCCAGCTTTGACTGCCCCTTCTAACAAGCCTAGTGCTTAATTTCTGCTCACACTGGTTTACACCTTCCTTTTTCCAAGACTGAACAAATTTCATTTTCCACCTAGATACTCTGTCCAGATCATAATTTGTCACAAAATCCTAACGGCACAAATAGCATGATCCGAGTCAGTGCTGTGCAGTCCTTCAGACTGAATCATCACATCCCAAATGACAGTCACAGCAGTAGGTACAAAGCTGGCTTAATTAGCCATGTGAGCCTCTGGGGCTTCAATCACAAACTAGTACATGAGTTCTCTGAAATAGTACAGAATAACAAAAAAACAACCATCTGTTGTGAAACTAGCTTGCATTGTCTTCCTGAACTTGCGCTCATTTCCTGAAATATATTATTCCTGAACAACTGTTTCCTTAGAAAATGTCCCAAGAGTTACAATATACCTTGTTTCTTCACTTGTATCAGAGACCTCATGATTACTGTTAGAGACATCACAGAAGTAAGAAAAAAGTGCTCATTGCTGAGGAGAAAAAAATAAAACCTATCCAGTCCATGATACAAATAAGCCCATTTCAGTACTTTGTGAATAAAACTTCATTTTTCTCAAGCCCATCAGAAAGCGAGCACTCAGGTTCCTGTGGTGCTCCCCATAAAAGCTGGGAGCCACCTCTTCATTCTGCAGACCAGAGTGAGCTTTATTTTTTTAACGCACTGTCGTGTTGGACTGCTGGTTTCCTCAGGCTTGGTTCATGGCTGGTGGGAACAGCTGGTGATACACTCTGGCTTAGCCTAGGAAATAAGCCAGTTCTTGTCCTCACATCCAAGTTGGAGCAACTCTGGATTCAGGACTAATGATGCATTGGTTCAGAGAGAGAGAGATTGGCTCAGTTGCAATGTGGGACTGTATCTAAGACACAGAGACCCACAAGGAATGGGTTCAGTCCTTGCTGGACACGACACACCCACCCCAGTGGGTGAAGTTGGGGCTGCCAAGCAGAGATCCCCAGCTGAGCCCAGCTTAGCCCTGATCCTCCTGTCCCCTTGGTGCCTCCTGAGCCACATGCTGGACCTGTCCCTGCCCAGCAGTGCTTGCAAAGCTCTCTTCCACTTTGGGGAGACTGGGAACAGCTTTTGTATCTGGATCATTTTTAGGCAATGCAAAACTCGTTTCTTTTTCAGCTCTACTCCCATTAGCATTTGCCAGAGGCAGATTGAGGGCAAAAACTTTCCAATATGCTCAGTTGTTCCAAGAGCCCTTGCAGACAGCACTGCCAGGCCTTGGGTTGTGAGCAGCAGGGTGGATACCACCTCTCATCTTCTGCCTTGTCCAGACTCAGGAATATTAATAGCACTTAAAAATAAATAATGGCGATAATGAAAAACCGTAATAGGGTTTCCTTGCGATCGTTTTCCCTGCACTGGAGCCAATCAATTTTAATAATAAATTGTAGCTTCCAGCTTGCCAGAGAACAAATGTACACCATGGGATAAAATCTGCTCCAACGTGAGAGTGTATCCAGAGCAGGCTCAGAGACCAGCCAGCTCACACTGCGAGGGTGGACAGCAGCCTGAGCCAGGTCACACTCAGGCACAGCAGCTATGCCTGCTCTGTCCAGGTCCCCCCCTCATGCCAGTGAGGGTGTCTGCTGAGGGCAGGCTCCAGAGACATCCTCACTGAAATGCTTTTTTGGAAAAGCACCAGAGCCTGTCTTCACAACAGTTCATCGCACACTTCATCTCAGTTTTACTTTATGTAGGAGAAGATAATAACAGTAATTTGCACTGATGTCCTTCTCTTCCCCTTGCCCTTGAGCGCTGTGAACAGACCCCCTGCCACAGCACAGACACTGAATTCGGGTGCTTTGTGGGGTGCTGTGCTCCCCAGAGGGGTGCACCTCTCCCAGAGCAACGTCTGCCCTCGCTCCCTGCTGCAGACAGCCCTGCTTTGTCTCTGGGCTGCCCTGCCTGAGCCATGCTCCATGTGATGCCTTCTGAAAAAGCCTTTTAAGAAAATCTCGTTAGGAAAAAAGCAAAGCAGAGGATAAAGAAAGAGTCGCCCTGACTCTGGCAACACACGTGCAGATATGACATTGTAATATCATCAGTGCCAGAAGGAACCTTATAAATCCACTCCTGAACTCTGGCCTCTTCCAGTCACTTCCATCTTCCTCTGCCCTGAGCAACAGATATTTTTGACACTTGCAATTCTCCTGACACAGTCCATCAATCTATTTTTGTCTCCCTTTGTTCCTTCTAAGTCACCCAAGAGATTTGGTCAAGCAAACTTGCCAAACCTTGTAAGGTCTGTACATCTCATTGAGGCCCAGCTGCCTGTGCCTGGTACAGATTTGTGGTCTCACCTCTGCAGCTCCGGTTTATTGATGGTCTTCTGCAGCACCTGCCTGTGTGCAGCACAGTGGGATCAGTCCTGCTCTGCCAGAGGTGTGACCAGGATTGTGCCCCCCATGAAAATGCACTAATTGCATCTTTAGGTCAAGACAGCAAAGAGGATATTTTGCCCACCTGTGATGTGAACTACACTGTTCGGTCAGCCTAAAAGTCAAGATTACAGTAAGCTCAGGCGTTAACCCTGATGCTTGATCTAGCCTTTCATCCCTAGAGGGTGGATTTCTTTTTAAAATCTGAGGCAAAAACCCTGATTACCATAAATCAATTTTCAGGAGCACTTCGTGCGTGCACGTGTGCCTAGCTGTTTCTGGCAAACACGAATTTTCCTTCCTATAAACCAGAGGCAAAGAATGAAACTGGTAATGCTCTCAGTAGAACTGATATCTGCTGGTTTGGTTTGGGCATGTAATAAAGTATCACCACAAGTTCTGCTGGCTGCTTTTCTTGAAAAGTGGCACTGGAGCAGGGGGAACAACAAAAGAAAATTCTACTTGGGCAAACCCTGCCCCAAGCCCTGTGGCTTGTTTTGATGGCAGAGGGCAACTCTCTCCCTGTGAGAGGCATTGCTCAGCTGGTGGCCCACTGTGGTGCAATCACTGAGCGTGCAGACACTGAGGAAGAAGGTGGATTTGGGTGGTTTCAGACCTGGCACTGGTAGAGCTGTGCCCTTACAGGCACTCCGAGGGTCACAGTGCTCACCAGCTGCCTGCAGCAGTTCCCACAGCTCCAGGACAAGTGCACACAATGGCCACGGCCGGGATTTTGCCTGTACAAAGTGGCTGGAAGAGGAGCAGGAATGCAGCACAACAGGAGGGGAGAGTGCCTGCCTGAGTGCACCACAGCATGGCATCACAGCTGCTTTTGGAAGGCGAGGGTACGGCCCCACTGGTGCCTTGACAATGAATCTCCTCACCCTGCGGAGGAGGAGGCCAATTCACACGGTGGGTCTCTGCTTTCA